TCTGAGCTCCCTCTCCCCATATCCTGGGTCTTGGGGTGCTCTGAGCTCCCTCTCCTCACACTCTGGGTCCCTGGGGTGCTCTGAGCTCCCTCTCCTCACACCCTGGGTCCCTGGGGTGCTCTGAACTTCCTCTCCCCCCATCCTCCCTGGGTCCTGGGGGTGGTCAGTGCTACCTCTCCCCACACCCTGCCTGGGTCCCTGGGGTGGTCAGTGCTCCCTCTCCCCACACCCTGCCCGGGTCCCGGGGTGCTTCACGCTCCCTGTCCCCATGCCAGGCAGGAGGCATCCGGCGCTGTGGCTGCCCCTGCACGCCCTGGGCCACGTCCTCATGAAGCAGAGCTACGTGTCCGCTCTCATCGCCATGATGGTAAAGAGCTGGCAGGGGACACGTCCCCGGGGAGGGGACACGTCCCCGAGGAGGGGCCACAGCCATGGCGTGGAGCATGAGTGGTGGCCCTCACCCTCACCCCTCCTGCCCGCAGGTGTGGAGCATCTTCTACCACAGCTGGCTGACCTTCGTGCTGCTGCTCTGGGCGTGCCTGATCTGGACGGTGCGGAGCCGCCGGCACTTCGCCATGCTGTGCTCGCCCTTCCTGGTGCTCTACGGCATCGCCCTGTGCAGCCTGCAGTACGTGTGGGCCATGGACGTGGTCCCCGAGCTGCCCACCCACATCAGCTTCCTGCGGCTGCAGCCGCTGGGGCTGGTGCACCACAGCTACCCCTGCATAGCTCTGGGGGCCAAGGTGAGTGTGGCGCCGGCCCGGCCCCGTGCTGCCGGCGCCCGCCCGTGGCCCTCACCGCCCGTGCCCGCAGCTCCTGTTCACCCTCACCTTCTGGATGCTGCTGCGGCGCTTCGTCACCGAGAAGGTGCTCGCGAGGAGGGCCCCGGCCACGCCGCTGCTGGAGGTGTCCACCGCCGACACGGGTGAGGGCTCGCCCGCGCCGTGCCACGCTGAGCACCCCACGGCGCAGAAGGAGAGCGGGGTGCCCCCGCCCGGCTCCTGCAGCCCCTCTGTGCCCCCGCAGACGCCAGCCAGACGCGGGACGTGCTGCGCAAGCTGGGGGAGGTGGTGAGGAACTTCTTCGCCAAGTTCTGGTTCTTCATCTGCGCCGCCAAGTTCATCGTGGTGACCTTTGCCGGCCGCCTCGTCGTCTACAAGATCGTCTACATGCTCCTCTTCCTCCTGTGCCTCATCCTGTTCCAGGTAGAGAGGCCGGGCAGCCCTGGGGCGCTGGGCCGTCCCCGGGGTGGCCCTGCTGATGTCCCTGTCCCTGCAGGTGTACTACAGCCTGTGGCGCAAGGTGCTCAAGGGTTTTTGGTGGCTGGTGGTGGCCTACACCATGCTGGTGCTCATCGCCACCTACACCTACCAGTTCGAGGACTTCCCCATGTACTGGAGGAACCTGACAGGCCTCACTGATGGCCAGTGAGTGTCCCCTGCCCACTGCGGGGTCCCTGCTGGCACCAGGGCGTGGCCAAGGGCTGGGTTGCACGTGGGGAAACCGAGGCACGGAGCAGGTTGGGGTTGATCCCTGGCACGGGGGCTCGGTGCCTGGTTGGGGTGGGATGGATGAGACCCCGGGCTGACCCTGCTGTCCCCATCCAGGCTGAGCGACATGGGCCTGGAGCAGTTCAGCGTCTCCAAGCTCTTCTCCAGCATCCTCCTGTTGGGTTTCTTCCTCCTGGCCTGCATCCTCCAGCTCCACTACTTCCACGAGCCCTTCATGCTCCTCACTGACCTGCAGCACGTCCGCCCCGTCTCTCCAGCCCCCTGCCACATCCCCAGGTAGGAGCCCAGGTGCTGGGTGACCCCCCTGCACCCCGAGCCCCCCGTCCCTGCTCTGAGCCCCCTTCCCACAGGTCGGAGGAGCTGCACGGGAGCCGCCTGCTGCGGGACGCGGCCGCGGCCGAGACCGCCCAGGCCCGGGACCCGGACACCGCCTCCCTGGGTACAGGGCAGGGATGGGGAGGGGGTGTCCTCCGAGCCAGGAGGGACCTGGGAGGGCAGGGAGACTGATTTGGGTTGATATCCAAGTTTGGGAGGGCAGGGAGATGATTTGGGTTGTATCCGAGTGTGGGAGGCCATGGGGATGGATTTGGGTTGTATCTGAGTGTGGGAGGGTATGGGGATGGATTTGGGTTGTATCTGAGTGTAGGAGGGTATGGGGATGGATTTGGGTTGTATCTGAGTGTGGGAGGGTATGGGGATGGATTTGGGTTGTATCTGAGTGTAGGAGGGTATGGGGATGTATTTGGGTTGTATCTGANGGGTTGTATCTGAGTGTGGGAGGGTATGGGGATGGATTTGGGTTGTATCTGAGTGTAGGAGGGTATGGGGATGTATTTGGGTTGTATCTGAGTGTAGGAGGGTATGGGGATGGATTTGGGTTGTATCCGAGTGTGGGAGGGTATGGGGATGGATTTGGGTTGATATCTGAGTGTAGGAGAGTATGGGGATGGATTTGGGTTGATATCTGAGTGTGGGAGGCCATGGGGATGGATTTGGGTTGTATCTGAGTGTAGGAGGGTATGGGGATGGATTTGGGTTGTATCCAAGTGTGGGAGGGCAGGGAGATGGATTGGAGCATCCTCCAAGGCTGCAGCAGACTTTGGGGGTATGGACTGGGGTGTTTTCAAGCCTGGCAGGGTATGGGGATGGACTGGGGTGTCCTCTGAGCCAGGAAGAGGCTGGAGGTTGTTGGGGGTTGTGGGAACGGGCTGGGGAGGACACAGGGGAAGGGTTGGGGTGTCCTCAGAGCCAGCGAGGCCATGGGGGGGTCCACGAGGGTCCATGTCCCACAGTGTCCAACAAATGGGGGCTGGTGCTGGAGCGCCTGGTGGTGCTGGGCCGGACCTTCTCGGAGATGATGACGCGCGGGGAGGTCTTCATGAGGCGCCTGCTGGAGCTCCACGTCCTCAAGCTGGTGGCTCTCTACACTGTCTGGGTGGCCCTGGAGGAGGTACCCCTGGGGGTGCAGGGTTGGGGGGCTCAGCCGGGCCCCCTGAGGTGCTGATGTGGCCTCTGCCCCAGGTCTCGGTGATGAACTTCTTGCTGGTGCTGCTGTGGGCCTTGGCCATGCCCTACTGCCGCTTCCGCCCCATGGCCTCGTGCCTCTCCACCGTCTGGACCTGCATCATCATCGTCTGCAAGATGCTCTACCAGCTCGAGGTCGTGGACCCCCGCCAGTACTTAAGCAACTGCACCCAGGTGTGCCCAGCGGGGCCGGTTCTTGGGGGGCTCCCTGGCTGGAGGAGGGGGTCCTGGGGTGCTGACCCACCCCCCGGTGCTCCCCTTTTGCAGCCCCTACCCAACAGCACCAACCTGACCCCAGAGGAGCTGGGCAACTCCACGCTGTACCGTGGCCCCGTGGACCCTGCCAACTGGTTCGGCATCCGGAAGGGCTTCCCCAACTGGGGATACGTCAAGGTGGGCACGGGGACGCCGTGGGGAGCGCCTGGAGGGGATTTTTGGCTTCACAGCGTGGTCCTGAGCAGCTCTTCTGAGAACCTGGAGAGATGCTGTTTGTGAGGACCACCATGGGGGAGGGATTCTTGGCTTCACAGCGTGGTCCTGAGCAGCTCTTCTGAGAGATGCTCTTCTGAGAGATCTCTTCTGAGAACCTGGCGAGATGCTGTTTGTGAAGACCACCACGGGGAGGGATTCTTGGCTTCACAGCGTGGTCCTGAGCGTCCCCTGTTGCCCCAGAACCACCTGCAGGTGCTGCTGCTGCTGGTGCTCGAGGCCGTGGTGTACCGGCGCCAGCAGTACCACCGCAAGAAGCACCAGCTGGTGGCCCCCGTCACCGAGACCGTCTTCGAGGACGTCTCCCGCCAGCACCTCGACCTCGGCCTCGTCAGCTGCGCCAAATACTTCATCAACTACTTCTACTACAAGTTTGGCTTGGAGGTGGGAGCGTGGGCCTTGTGCAGGGCGGGGGTCCCGGTGCTCGCAGCGTGCCGGTGCTGAGCCCTGCGCCCCCAGATCTGCTTCCTGATGATGGTGAACGTGATCGGGCAGCGGATGAACTTCCTGGTGATCCTGCACGGCTGCTGGCTCGTGGTGATGCTGACGCGGCGGCGGCGCGCCGCCATCGCCCGCCTCTGGCCCAAGTACTGCCTCTTCCTCGTCGTCTTCTTCCTCTACCAGTACCTGCTGTGCCTGGGGATGCCGCCCGCCCTCTGCATGGGTAAGGGGCACGGGGGGCACCCCCTGGGAAGGGGCTGGAGGGGAGGCCTGGCACTGATGGTGCCCCCTCTCCCCCCAGACTACCCGTGGCGCTGGAGCCACACCATTCCCCTCAACTCGGCGCTCATCAAGTGGCTCTACCTGCCCGACTTCTTCCAGCCTCCCAAATCCACCAACCTCATCAGTGAGTAGCCCCCTGCCCATGTGGTGCCCTGGCTCCCCAAATCCAGCCCCTGGCAGTCCCCTGCTCATGGGGTGACACAGCCCATGGCAGTTCCCTGGCTCCCCAAATCCAGCCCCTGGCACCTCTGTGCCCATGGGGTGCCCTGCTGCCCTACTCCAGCCCCCCAACCTCTGGGGCCTCCTCAGCCATCGTTTGGCTCCATCCAGGAGGGGGGAAGGATAGGCAGGAGGGGTGGAGGAGCTTTGAGAGCCCCACTCCTTTGGAGACAGAGCTTAAATCACACAAACCCCTTTGGAGAAGGAGTAATGGCAAACCCCACCCCTTTTTGGGGGACCTTAATTGTTTCGCCACCCCCTTTTTGGGGAAAGGAGGAGCGTGGAGAGATCCACGCTTGGTTAAAGAGGAGATGGGGCCGGGGAGAGCCACACCTGCCTGCAGAGAATTAACCAGCTCAGGATGGGGGTGCCCCGTGCCTGGGGGAAGGGTTTGGGGGGTGGCAGCGTTTTGGGGTGCCTGAGGCCCGGGCTGAGCTGTGTTTTCCCAGATGACTTCATGCTGCTGCTGTGCGCGGCCCAGCAGTGGCGCGTCTTCGAGGCCGAGCGCTCCGAGCCGTGGCTGCAGGCGGCCGGGGACAACTCGGACCGGCTGGACCGGGAGCAGGACCGCCACAACCCCACCCCAAACTTCATCTACTGCAGGTGGGCACCCCCGGCACAGCACCCCCCAACCAGGGCTGGGGCCACGGGAATGGGATCCCCTGTGGGCAGTGAATGGGGCGCTCCTCTGGGATGGTATCCCTGGATCCCTGGGGTATGGACGGGGTGAGACCCCCTGGGATGGCATCCCTGGGGTGTGGACGGGGTGAGACCCCCTGGGATGGTATCCCTGGGGTATGGATGGGGTGAGACCCCTTGGGATGGCATCCCTGGGGAGTGGATGGGATGGGACCCAGCTGGGTGAGACTCCTTGGGATGTGGGCACAATGGAATCACACCCTTAGAATTCCAGCCTTGGGATGCCAAACTTTGGGGTATGGACAGGATGGGTTTCCCCTCTGGGATGGAACCATTCGGGGTAGGGATGAGATCCCACCTTCGGATGGCAAATCCTCTGGAATGGGATCCCTTGAGGTGTGGGTGGGATGGGACCTTCAGGCAGTGGGACCTGCCGGGCTGGGATCCCCCAGAATGGGACTGAACCCCTTTGGGCCAGGGTCCCTATGGACATGACCCCCCTGATGGCTGGAGCAGGGACACCCTGAGGCTCTTCTGGAAGGAGATGAGGTGGTCCAGGACACCCCTGGTGATGGTGCTGGACCCATAAACTGGGACAAAGCCCTTCGTCCCCCACGAGAGGGCTGGTGGGAGGACTGGGACCGTACTGGGAAGGGACAAGGCCCTTGCTCTGACCACCCCATCCGCAGGTCCTACCTGGACATGGTGAAGGTGGTGGTGTTCCACTACTTCTTCTGGGTGGTCCTGGTGGTGGTTTTCATCACCGGCAGCAACCGCATCAGCCTCTTCGGCCTGGGCTACGTGCTGGCCTGCTTCTACCTGCTGCTCTCGGGCAGCGCCATGCTGCGCAAGCCGGCCCGCGCCCGCCTCGCGCTCTGGGACTGCCTCATCCTCTACAACATCACCGTCATCATCTCCAAAAACATGCTGTCGGTGCGTTGTGACCCGCGTGCCTCTCCTCGGGTCCCCCTGCGCGTCCCCGGGCGCGGTGACAGAGCCCTGCGTGCCCTCTCTGCCCGCAGCTCCTGTCCTGCGTCTTCGTGCAGCAAATGCAGAGCAGGTTCTGCTGGGTGATCCAGCTCTTCAGCCTCGTCTGCACCGTCAAGGGCTACTACAACCGTGAGTTGCTGCTCCGGGGGGCTCGGGGGCTGCAGGTTTGGGCTGCTGCCTGACCTGCCTGCACCTCTGCCTGCCAGCCAAGGCGATGCACAAGGACCACGACTGCACGCTGCCCGTGGAGGAGGCCGGCATCATGTGGGACAGCATCTGCTTCTTCTTCCTCCTGCTCCAGCGCCGCATCTTCCTCAGCTCCTACTACCTGCACGTCATGTGGAACCTCCGAGCCTCTGCCCTGCAGGCTTCCAGGTGGGATTGAGGTCCTGGAGGGTCGCCATGCGTGCTGGAGGCCCCCCCCGACCCTCCACTGTCCCTGTCCCCCAGGGGTGTGGCGCTGTTCAAGGCCAGCATCATGAAGAGCCTGCGCTCGCACCAGCTAGCCGAGAAGAAGTCGCTGGACCAGCTGAAGCGGCAGTGAGTGGGTTTTGGGGGGCACTGGGACCCCTCTCCCTGCACCTTGGGACAGCCCCGTGTATGGGGTGCCCCTGTGGGCGCGGGGGAAGCGGGCTCTGCAGCATCCTCCACCCCCAGGATGGAGCGGATCCGAGCCAAGCAGCAGAAGTACCACCAGGAGCAGGCCAGCAGCCCGGAGCAGGAAGGGGCCACAGCAGGTGAGAGCTGGGGGGTCCCTCCCGTGTCCCCAACCCCTCTCCGGACACGCGGCTGGCACCGTGAGCCTTGCCCAGCGCCCATCCTGCTGGAGCCCCGCGCAGCGCTGTGGTGACCCGGGTGCCCCCCGGGCGGGGCGGGTGCCCCGAGCGGGGCCCCGCTCAGCCCCGTTGCCATCCCGCAGCGCCCGGTGGTCCGGCAGACCCGTCCCGGCAGAGGCAGCGCTGGTGGCGGCCGTGGTTAGACCACGCCACAGGTACAGCCCCGGCCCGGCGCCGCGACGGGCTCAGCCCCTCGCAGAGGGCACCGCTAACACCGCTGGCACTGCACGTCCCCAGGCACTAACCACGGCTTCTCTGGTCCCCAGCACTAACGGGGTGTTGGACTGGGGGTGCCAGGCTGGGGTTGGGGTCACCGGCGTCGCTCACGTCCGGAGGGACGCCGCTGCGGGGACGTGGTGGTTGAGTCGTTGGTTTTGGTGTCCCCATGGGTGCCCTCGGTGCCAGGCAGCGCCCTGGCAGATGGCAGCGGGGACAGCCTGGGGTGTGACACCCCTGCCACGGCCCTGGCTGTGCCGTGACCCCCTGTGCCCCCCGGCAGTGCTGCATTCCGGGGAATACTTCCTCTTCGAGTCGGACAGCGAGGAGGAGGAGGAGGTGCAGGAGGAGCTGCGGCCGGGGAGGCTGAGTGCCTTCCAGGTGAGCAGGGCTGGGGGGCTGCAGAGCAGCCGGAGGGCTGGCAGTGTCCCCAGGGTGCTGATGGCCCTTGTCCCCCTCCCAGCTCGCCTACCAGGCCTGGGTGACCAACACCAGGACGGTGCTGCGGCAGCAGGAGGAGCCCGAGCAGCCAGGGCCACCCAGCACCGACGGCGCTGCAGGTGGGTGTGACACCCCAAAATAGGGCTGAGGAGCAGGAGGGGACACAGCCCTGCCTGGTGCCCACTGTGTGCCCTGGCAGGGCGCTCCCAGTGTGGGGGAGACTCTCTGGTGGCTACAGTGGGGTTTGGCACAAGCTGTGCAGCTCCTTTGGTGCCCACCCTGGTTTGTAAGGTGGATGTGGGCGGACAGGGGATGGGGTGGTGCATGGCAGAGCCCCAGAAATGATGTTCATCCTTCCCTGGGGTCTGACCTTTGAGGGGATGACGCAAGGAGAGAGGTGGAGGCTGCCGAGGGGGCTGAAGGCCGGGAGGAAGAGAACGTGGAAAGTTCTGGTAGGTGGGCAGCAGGGCTGCAGTGCAGGGGGGTGCTGGGGAGGTCTGAGAGGGCACGAGTGACCCTCCACCCCTCTTCTTGCCCTGGCAGAGCGCAGCAACGTCTTGCAGCGGGCACTGAACACGCTGAGGTTCCTGTGGCTGCTGTGCCAGGCCCTGGTGGACGGGCTGACCAAGTGGCTGGACACCCAAAACCGGGAGCACACGGACATGTCCCACGTCCTGTGCCTCGAGAGATTCGTCATGGCACAGCGCCTGGCCAAGGTGGGCCCGGGGGGGACACCGGCCCGCGGGGGGGTGGCAGCCCACGGTGGCACTGACGTTCTGCCTGCCCCAGGGAGAGGAGATAAACGAGGAGTTCCCAGATGAGCTCTACGAGCTTCCCCCAGAGGAGTTCCTGCAGGAGCCGAGCCCGCCCGGCTCCTTGGCTGCGGATTCCCAAAGCGGCACTTCCAGGCAGGTGCATAGAGACCCCCCTGGCAGTGCCACAGGTGGGGCTGGGGGCTCACCCCTGCCCCTGTGGCATCCCCCGCGGGTGCCGAAGAGCTGCCCCTTCTTCCAGCAGCCAGGAGCAGGCGACGAGCCTGGAGGACGTGGCTGATGCCCAGCAGTTCCTGGCCGTTCCCCAGCAGCGCCGGCGGACTGCCAGTGAGCTCCTCAGGAGCAGGTGGGCAAGGGGACACGGGGACAGCAGGATGGGGACAGGGGGTGGCAGGGGGCTCACCCCAGCCCTGTATCCTGCAGGAGGTTGTATGTCTCCGAGCTGGAGGAGTCGGAGCAGTTCTACCAATCCCACAACCGGTTCCTGAAGCTGCTGCTGGCCGGGTACCGCTGCGTCACCGGCCACTCCGACCTGCTCTGTTACTTCACCATCATCCTCAACAACATGGTCACCGGCTCCGTCATCTCCCTCTTCCTGCCCATCCTCATCTTCCTCTGGGCCATGCTTTCCATCCCCCGGCCCACCAAGCGCTTCTGGATGACCGCCATCCTCTTCACCGAGGTGGGCAGGGGGTGGCCAGCGAAGGGACGATGCCACCTGGCCCCCGCTGCCACCCACTGACCCCAGCGTCCCCGCAGATGACGGTGGTGGTGAAATACCTCTTCCAGTTTGGCTTCTTCCCCTGGAATGGCTACATCACCCTGCTGCGCTACGAGGGCAAGCCCTTCTTCCCACCACGCATCCTGGGCTTGGAGAAGTCCATCCACTACATCAAGTATGACCTCCTGCAGCTCCTGGCCCTCTTCTTCCATCGCTCCCTGCTGCTGGTGAGCCCTGGGCCGTGGGTGGGCATTTGGGGGGAGCTGGAGCTGCTCCTGGGGGCTCCGGGCAGAACCCAGGGGGTGCCGGGAGCTCGGCCGTGGTTTCCCACCAGTGCTGGTGGGAGTGGATGCTGCAGGATGGGGAGTGAGGTGTGTGGGGTTCGGGTCAGCAGGACCCCTGATGTGTCCCTCCACAGTCCTATGGGCTGTGGGACCAGGAGAAGACGACGGATGAGAAGCAGGAGAGCAAGGAAGGGGAGGAGAAGCCGGAGGAAGCCGTGTCCTCACCATCAGCAGTGGCTGAGGAAGGGCTGGAGGCTCCAGCCCAGCCAGGAGCACTGGGAGCAGCCACGGGGCTGGAGCTGGAGCCAGAGGGCGAGTCCGTGGAGCAGGAGGAGGGGACCGAAGCCACACAGCTCCGCTTCAGGAGGAAGCAGGGGAGGAAGATGCTGGAGATGGTTCCAGCGGAAGGTGAGCACCAGTTCCCAGCCCTCATGCCCTGCTGAGGAGCAAAGCTGGCAGCCCCAGGGTGCTGGGGTCGGGCAGGATGTGGCCCTGCAGGACTCTGGCTGTCACCCACGCTGTGCCTCACTTCAAGGGGGTGAGGAAGAGGAGGAGGAAGTGTCAGAAGAGAGCCACGCTCAAAGGAAGCTGAAGGCGTTTGGCTTGCGGGTCAAGGGCTTCATCCTCACCAAGTGAGTGGTGGCGGTGCTGCTGCGGGTGGGGGCTGTGGGGCGCGGTGCCAGTCACTGTCCCCCGTGTCCCCCCGTGTCCCCTGTCCCTGCAGGGCACAGTACATGTACCAGCCCGTGTGCAAGTTCTTCCGGGACATCCTGGACACGCAGAGCCGTGCAGCCACCGACGTCTACGCCTACATGTTCCTGGCTGATGTGGTCGACTTCATCATCATCGTCTTCGGCTTCTGGGCCTTTGGGGTGAGCAGGGAGTCCCGCCGGGCCCTGACTGTCCTGCTTCCACCACGGGGTGAGGCTGGGCCACATCCTGACCTCTCCTGCACCCCAGAAACACACGGCGGCCGCCGACATCACCTCCTCGCTGTCGGAAAACCAAGTGCCGGAGGCTTTCCTTTTCATGATGCTCTTCCAGTTCAGCACCATGGTCATCGACCGCGCGCTCTACCTCCGCAAAACGGTGCTGGGCAAGCTCATCTTCCAGGTCACCCTGGTCTTCGGCATCCACGTCTGGATGTTCTTCATCCTGCCCTACGTCACCGAAAGGTACGTCCCACAGAGTCCACGGCACAGCGCGGCCCTCGCGTGGCACCTTGACGTCCCCGGGCCCCCGTGGTGGTCCCGGCTGGTGGCTGAAGGGTGGCACGTCCCTCCCACAGGTTGTTCCGCCACAACACGGTGGCCCAGCTGTGGTACTTTGTGAAGTGCATCTACTTCGGGCTGTCGGCCTACCAGATCCGCTGTGGCTACCCCACCCGCATCCTGGGCAACTTCCTCACCAAGAAATACAACCACCTCAACCTCTTCCTCTTCCAGGGGTACGGCACGGGGCCCACAGGGAGCTCCGGGCACCCCGAGGGTGCCGTACCACCGCCCTCTCCCCGTGTGCCCCCAGGTTCCGCCTCGTGCCCTTCCTGGTGGAGCTGCGGGCCGTCATGGACTGGGTGTGGACAGACACCACGCTGTCCCTCTCCAACTGGATGTGCGTGGAGGACATCTACGCCAACATCTTCATCATCAAGTGCAGCCGGGAGACTGAGAAGGTACATCCCCTGTGCCAGGAAGGGGTCCCTCACTAAATCCCTCTTGGGGGTTTGTTGAGGTCCCTCTGAGCCCACCCTACACTGTGTGCTGTCTCCCCCCCGCCCCAGAAATACCCCCAGCCCAAGGGGCAGAAGAAGAAGAAGGTGGTGAAGTACGGCATGGGCGGCCTCATCATCCTCTTCCTCGTGGGCATCATCTGGTTCCCGCTGCTCTTCATGTCCCTGGTGCGCTCCGTGGTGGGCATCATCAACCACCCCATCGATGTCACCGTCAACCTCAAGCTAGGGGGGTACGAGGTGAGGATGTGGGGTGGCTGTTGGGGTGCCCAGATGGGACACCAGGGTGCCCTGGCTGATGTCCCCCTGTCCCCACAGCCTCTGTTCAGCACGAGCTCCCAGCAGCAATACATCCAGCCCTTCACCTCCGAGGAATACGATGAGCTCACCAAAGAGTTTGAGAGCGAGCCGGTAAATCCCCACCCCGCCACCCCAAAACAATCCCTGCTGGCTGCCCAGGGAGGGGTCTGGCAGAGCCCCCAGGGCAGGGCTGAGCCGTGTTCCCCCACCCCCGGTGGCAGCTGGCCATGCAGTTCATCAGCCTCTACGGCATGGAGGACATCGTGACCGCCCGCGTCGAGGGCAGCTCGGGCTCGCTGTGGAGCATCAGCCCGCCCAGCCGCGAGCAGATGCGGCTGGAGCTGCAGAACGGCTCCTCCGACATCACCCTGCACCTCACCTGGATCTTCCAGAGGTACCTCGGGCACGGCCAGGGAGGAGCCAGCCCTGCCTGCGCCCCCCTGCCCACACCCAGCCTCTCGTGCCCGCAGGGACCTGAACAAGGGGGGCACGGTGGAGAACGCCTACGGCAAACACGACACAGACCTGCAGCCCGGCGCGCCCCAGCGCCTGGAGCTGGCCCAGCTGCTGGATGGCACCAGGGATAAGCCCGTGTGAGTGTCCCCTGAGGGGGTGGCTGGACCCCTGTGCTCAGTGGGATGGTGTAACCCCCCCCATCACTCCACTTTCTTGCAGGGTATTGCCAAACCTCTTCCCCAAATACATCCGGGCGCCCACGGGCAGCGAAGCCGAACCTATCAAGCAGCTGCTGCCAGGTAGGTCCCAACGTGTCCCCCCCCGAGAAAACCAGCACTGGTGCCACCTCTCTGAAGACAGGGAGGACGTGAGTCCCAGTGTGTCTCTCCCTAAAACATCAGTGCTGGGAGCACAGCAGTAGCCCTGATGGTGCCAGCCCCTGCGGGCAGCGGGGACACGAGTCCCACTGTGTCACTCCCCCCAAAAAATTCATCCTTAAGGGCACAGCAGCCACTGTGCTGTGCCCTGACGGTGTCACCCTCTCCAGATGACTTGGACAGCTACCTGGACGTGGAGGTGCAGCTGAAACGGGAGCGCAGGGGCTCCGGCCGCGGGGAGCACTTTGTGGAGTGGTGGGTGCTGAGGCAGAAGGACGCGCCACCCCAAGAAGGCAACATCCTCCCCATGATCATCTTCAACGACAAAGTCAGCCCGCCCAGCCTGGGCTTCCTGGCTGGCTACGGGTACGTGGAGGGTGCCAGGGCGTGGTGGGGATCCGCAGGGAACTGCTGGTGGGATCCAGGATGTGCCCCACTCTTTGCAGGATCATGGGGCTCTACGTGTCCATCGTGCTGGTGATCGGCAAGTTCGTGCGGGGCTTCTTCAGCGAGATCTCCCACTCCATCATGTTCGAGGAGCTGCCCTACGTGGATCGCATCCTGAAGCTGTGCCACGACATCTTCCTGGTGCGGGAGACGGGCGAGCTGGAGCTGGAGGAGGAGCTCTACGCCAAGCTCATCTTCCTCTACCGCTCACCCGAGACCATGATCAAGTGGACACGGGAGAAGAATTAAGGGGAAGGGGCTCCAGCCTCCCCCTGACAGGGACATCACCGCCAATGCCTTAAGCAGCCCCCCGAGCTGGGGCCGCATCCCGGCCCGGCAGGCAGTGGGATGTGGGGTTCTGGGCACTCCTGTGGAGGGAGGATGTTCTTCTGGAGGTTTTTCTTACATTGCTTTGAAGCTGTCCGACCTGCACGGACCACATTGTGCCTTCCCGGGGAGCAGGGACTGGAGGTGGCCCTCCCCACCCACTGGGCGCTGCTGGCTGCCAGGTGGGGATGGGGGGGTCAAGAGCCAGCCCGTGCCCCCTCCCTGCCCCAGCCCCGCTCCAGAACCAGGTTGAATTCAAGCAATATCCCCCCCACAGCTCCAGGATGGGGGTCCTGGGTTGTGGCCCCCCCATGTTTGAGAGGGGGTCTGGCAGCCCCAGTTGGACTTTAGACACTTGTGACTTTGGGTTTGATTTTTTTAAAGAATTCAAATGTTTTATTTATACAGATACCGAATAAAACAAACTTGAGGCCTCCCTGGCTGACAGGCAGCTGGGGCAGGGGAGGTGGGGGGAACCAGGGACCTGCACCCCAGCCCCCAGTAAATGGGGATGGGGACTCTCCCTGCCCCTGGCTGGCACAGAAATGGGGTATAAAAGCAGCTGCCTGGGCCTCAGGAGTCCTCACCAACCTCTGGGCTATCCCTGAGGAGCGGCACCTGCCCCTGCTGTGCCACAGTGTGGGATGGGGGTGTGTCCCCAGCTGTCCCCAACCCCTTCAGCTCTCACTGGACTCCTGGTCTCTGCTCCATCTGAGCTCTGCAAGGGACAGACACTGGATGGACACGGCCTCGGGGGGCTGAGCAGGCGGGGAGGGGCCCCCCAGCCCCGGTACCTGCAGATCCTGCGCTGGCCCTCGGCGCGCATGTAGGGTGGCAGTGTGGCAAGGGGACCCTGCACGAGAGGGGTTGTGAGCCTGGGGACCCCCAGCAGCCCCGAGAGCCACCCCCCTGCACCCCAAAAAGCTCACCAGCTCCTTGAAGGTGAGGCGGCAGCTGTAGCACAGCAGGGGGATGTAGGCAGCTTTGCTCTCAACCCTGGGGGACGAGGACAGGGACAGGGATGAGGACAGGGACAGGGATGAGGACAGGGACACTCAGCGGTGCCACCACAGTGGCCTGGGAGCAGCTGTGGAATTCTGGAATGCCCTCAGTCCACATGCTCACCCTGCTGCTGGCTCCTCGAAGATCAGCGTGGGCTCCAGAGCCAGCTCCTCCTCTGTAAGAGCCAGGGGGTCACTGAGGGGTGCACGGCTGCTCCCCAACTCCCCCGAGCCCCCCAGTGCCCTCCCCACTCACCCCCATAGGTGTCCAGGCCACAGAGGCAGAGGAGGCAGCGGTGGAACTCGCTGTGGGCCTTGGCCGGCTCCGGGCTCAGCTTCTCCCCTGTCCTGCAGCCAAAATGGGGGTTGTGGGTGCACCCCAATCCCCCCACACCCCCAGTACCCCCACACAGACCCCCCATACCGGTACACGGTGCTGATGGTGGAGGGGAACTCCTCCTGCAGCCCCAGCAGGAAGCGCTCGACCAGCTGGTGGATGCTGAGCTTCTCGCGGCGCTGCGGGAGCCAACAGGGAGGGCAGGGCAGTGCTGGGGGTCCCGTCCCTGCCGTGGGGACACCCAGCGTGGGCTCCCCACCACGGGGAACCCCCTACCTTGGTGAAGAGGGGTGGCACGATGACGGTGGGGACGCTGAAGTAGAAGTTGTAGAAGGCGATCTCCTTAGCCGTGTAGTCCCGCATGGGTCTCACCACCATCACGTCACCGTGGCGCCGGTCCGTGAAGCCCTGTGGGTGCAGGGCTGCCAGGGGACTGTGCCACCAGCAAGCCGTGCCCCCGTGGCATCGTGTCACCCCTCGGGTGCGGGTGCCCGTCCCCAGCTCACCGTGTCCACGGCGAGGAAGGCGCCGCGCCCCAGGGAGAGGTTGGTGAGGAGCTTGACGGCCACGCGCGTGAGGCTCTCGCCCATCATCACCTTGGCGTAGCCCCTGTCCCGGGCCGTCTGCACGATCAGGTGGGTCCTGGGGGACGAGGTGACAGCGGATCAGAGCCACCCTGCCCAGCTGGCATTGGTGCTGGCCCTCAGCGGGGTCAGCCCCTCACCGCAGCATCTCCAGCAGCTCCTCCCGCGCCGTGGCCGTGGCCGCGGCCTCGAAGGCGCGGAGCAGCTCCTGTGTCCGGGCAGCGGCCGGCAGGCGGGGGGCGGCCGGGGGTCCTGCTGGCCTGGCCGGGGTGCTGGGAGTGGGCTGAGAGGTGCCACTGTCCCCGTCCTGCCGCTGCTGCTGGATGAAGCTGTCCACAGCCTCCTTGTAGGAAGGGCCGGACGTGCCGGCGCGCTCCGGCCCCGGCTGTAAGATGGATGGGGGCAGCTCCAGCGCCTGTGGGGCAGAGAGGGATATGGGGGAAGTTGTCCCAGTGTGTCCCCTCACCTCAGCATCTGTCCATGTGTCACCCCAATACCTCCTCCAGGTGGATCAGGTGGTAGGGGAAGCCGGTGGCCTGCAGCAGGGTCTCCATCTGGGCCAGGGTCTGCTCCCGCTGCTCCGGGCTCTGCCTGCGCACAGCTCCCTCTGGAAGGCAGAGGGGCAGTGCCAGGGCTGCTGCCACATTCCCAGCCCCGCTCCTGGGGCCAGGGGGGCAGTGCCAGGGCTGCTGCCACATTCCCAGCCCTGCTCCCGGGGCCAGGGGGGCAGTGCCAGGGCTGCTGCCACATTCCCAGCCCTGCTCCTGGGGCCAAGCGGGCATCACCCCGGCCCTGGCACAGTGCAGGGGACACTGCTGGGGCAGGGAGTGGGGCTGGGAATGTGCGAGGAATGGGCAGCAGGGCTGGGAATGGGGTACAGAATGGACAGTGGGGCTGGAAATGGGGCAGGAAACAGGCAACAAGGCTGGAATGGGAAGTAGGGAAGGAAGTAGGGAAGGATGTAGGGAATGAGGTAGGGAACAGGCAGCAGTACAGGGAATGGGATGGGAATGGGCAGTTGGACAGGAACAGGGAATGGGGCTGGAATGGGCAGCTGGACAGGAGCAGGGAATGGCGTTGGAATGGTCAGGTGGACAGGAGCAAGGAAGGTGCAGCTGGACAGGAGCAGGGAATGGGCAGGGAATGCACAGCTGGACAGGAGCAGGGAATGCACAGCTGGACAGCAGCAGCGGGGCTCCCTCACCCTCAACGTAGACGAGGCCGGGGACGAAGCGGAGCCTCTTGGCCGCCTCCCGGCTGAGCCCCTGCAGAGGAGCAGGGCGAGGTGTGGGGTGAGGAGTGGGGTGAGCTGTGGGGCGAGGGGGGAACGAGCCATGTGCCCCCCGAGCCCCTCCACGTCCCCACGCTCACCTCCTGCACCTGCCGGACCATGGCACTGGAGGCCGGGCCCCCCGACACGGCCAGCAGCACCTGCAGGGACAGCGGGGACAGTCACCGGCCCTGGGGCCACCCCTGGTCCCCTGGCCGGGTCCCCTGCCCGTACCTTCTCTCCCGGGAAGATGACGCGGTTCTTGCCCAGCATGGCACGGAACTTGTGCACGAAGTACTCGCGGAAGCAGCCGCTGGGGGACACGGTGACTCCTGAGCCACACCCTGTGCTGACACCCCCTGACCCCACGTCCCCACGCCCCAAAGTCCCCTTATGTCCCCCAGACCAACGTCCCCGAAAACGGCGACATCCCAGAGATTCCATGAGCCACGTCCCCAAACGTTACTGTCCCCCTTCCTCTGTGTCCTCAACACTCACTGTCCCCAAGCCTTGATGTTAGCCCGATGTCCCCGACACCCAATGTCCCCAAACCTTAAAATCCCAGAGATCCCCAACAACCCAATGCTCCAGACACAACGTCCCTAAGAACAAATGTCCCCAATCCCTGATGTCCCCAAGACCCAAAGTTTCCCAGTCTCCATCCTCTGGAGACTCCAAGACCCCAGTATCTGATGTCCCCAATTTCTCATGTCCCAAAGCCCCAATGTCCCCAGTTTTTGATGTCCCCAATTTCTGACATACCCAATTTCTGACACCCCCAATTTCTAATGTCCCCAGCCCCGCTGTCCCCAGTTTCTGATGTCCCAAAGCCCCAAGGTCCCCAGTTTTTGTGTCCCCAATTTCTGATGTCCCCAATTTCTGACATCCCCAGTTTCTGATGTCCCCAGCCCCGCCGTCCCCGCGGTCCCTCACCGGCAGAAGGGGTCCCCGACGCGGATGACGAGCGCGGCCGTGCCCTGCCCGCACTTCATGCACGTTCGGGGCTGGCTGCGGGGACACGGCCGGTCACCGGGGACACCGGGACCCGCTAAAGCGGGCGGCCCCGGTCCCCGGGCAGCACTATGGCTACCCAGGATGCTACCGGGGGATACCGGGAGATAGCAGGGGGTCGGAGATGGCACTGGGGACTATTGCAGGGATACCGGGGATAACACCAGAGACAGCCCCGGGGGATTCCGGTGAGACACCGGGGACAGGACCGGGGGGACACCGGGGGGTGCCGGCGGGCGCACCGGGGATGCACCGGCGGCAGCACGGGGTGTGGGATGCCCGGGGGGTACCGGGAGCGGCCCCGGGGGTCCATGCCGAGGCCGGACCGGGCTCACACCTGTCTGCCGGGGCGCGGCGGCGGCGCGGCGGATCCGAGTCCGCCCCGCAGCCACCGCCGCCACCCGCCGCGTCGCACATGGCGGCGACACTTGGTGCCGGTGGGTCCCGCTGGGTTCCGGTGGGTCCCGTTGGGTCCTGGTTGGTGCCGGTGGATCCCGGTGGGTCCCGGTGGATCCCGGTGGGTCCTGGCTGGTGCCGGTGGGTTCCGATGGGTCCCGTTGGGTCCCGGTTGGTGCCGGTGGGTCCTGGTTGATGTCGGTGGGTCCCGGTGGGTTCCGGTGGGTCCTGGTTGGTCCCGGTGACTCTCGGGGGGTCTCGCTTGGCTCGGCCCCGCTCGTCCCACACTCGGCTCCGCTCGGCTCCGCTCGGCTCCGCTCGTCCCTCACTCGGCTCCACTCGGCTCCGCTCGTCCCTCATTCGGCTCCGCACTCGGCTCCGCTCGGCTCCGCTCGTCCCTCACTCGGCTCCGGTCGTCCTCACTCGGCTCCACTCGGCTCCGCTCGGCTCCGCTCGTCCCTCATTCGGCTCCGCTCGTGCCTCACTCGGCTCCGCTCGGCTCCGCTCGGCTCCTCCCGTCCCGCCGTGTCCCGGCGCGCTCCCGTCGCGCGGCGGTGACGCGGCGGCGCCGCTCGGTGACGCGGCCGCCATGTTCCGGAGCCTGCTGGTGGCGGCGGCGCAGCGGCCGCAGGGCCCGGCCGGGCCCCCCCGCGCCGCCCCCGGCGCCGCGGCCGAGGCGCTGGAGGCGCAGTTCAGCTGCCCCATCTGCCTCGAGGTTTTCCACCGCGCCGTCGGCATCGCGGGCTGCGGCCACACGTGAGACGGGGCCCGGGCGGGGGCGGCGGGGACCCCCGGCATGAGCCGGCCCCGGCGACGGGCGGGGCGCGGGGCCGGGCGCTGTGCCGGCCGTGGGATCCTTGGGGCGCTCTGCGCTGAGCCCAGCCGGTACCGGCACGCCCGGCCCGCACCGGGGATGGTTCGGTACCGGGTGGTTCTGTAACGGGACCCCCGGCTCACACCCGGGATGGTTCGGTACCGGGTGGTTCTGTAACGGGACCCCCGGCTCACACCCGGGATGGTTTGGTACCGGGTGGATCGGTACCGGGACTCCCCTTTCACCCTCGGTCGGTACCGGGCCCTGATCCCATCCCACGGCAGGATCCCCAGCCCTGCCCAGGACCCCCGACCCTTCCCCCGTGTCCCCCCAGCATTTCGGGGTCACCCTGGTCCCTTTCCCGTGGGATTTTGGGGCCGTTCCCGAGGGGCTGCGGCTCTCTGGGGCTCCAGCACCGCCTCTCTGCTTCTCTGGGGCTGGGGGTGATTCCTGACCCCTCTCTGGTCCCCTGACACTGTCAGAGCCTTTGGGGCGTTTCATTCCCTGCTGAATTCCAGGATAATCGATTCTGGGGACCTTTGCCTCCTCTGGGCTGCTGGGATTCCCTTGCTCCTGGGGATGGAAGGACCTTGGGATGAGCTGATCCTGCCTGGCCTGGGGACCCAGCACTGACTTGGGCCCCTTTCCAATCCAGCCTTGGAGCAGGGAATTGTCTGAGCCTGCAGGAGCTCCCTGGGGACTCACCTGCTCCCAGTTCTCCCAGTAAGGATGCTGATCCCTGTGATGCCCCGAGAGGCTACCCAGAACAGAGGCTAAACAAAGGAAAAGGATTAAAATAGGGATTTATTAGAAAGGCCTTCAAAGGATACACCTTGGGCAGTACAAGAGCCCAAGATGGACTCCGAGCCACAAATTTTCACACTTTTATAAGTTTTGGTCCATTTCCATATTGGGGTTAATTATCCAATCACAGCTCCGGGTGATGCAGTCCCATCCTCCCAGATTACTCTCATCAATTCCCTGGTGTGTGGATTTTTTGGGCCTTTTTGTTTGCACTTTTTGAGGCTGAAGCTGCAGCAGTGTCCTTGGTTCTTGGGTTGGAAAAGGATTGTTCAGTGTGCCTGAGCTGGTTCTGGGGCTGGGAAAGGATTGTTCAGTGTGCCTGAGCTGTGAGGAGAGCTGCTGGCACTTTGTGTGGAGTTCAGATTTATTTCCCAATCTGAAAATTGCTAAAACTGCTAAAAAGCTGAACCCCATCACCTGGGTTCTGGGGGAGGGGGTGCCCTGCGGGGATCCTGCTGTGCTCAGGGCTGCCCTGTGCCCCCAGGTTTTGTGGGGAATGCCTGCAGCCCTGCCTGCAGGTGCCCTCCCCGCTGTGCCCGCTCTGCCGTGTGCCCTTCGATCCCAAAAAGGTGGAGAAGGCTTCCAGCCTGGAGAAGCAGCTCTCGTCCTACAAGGCTCCCTGCAGAGGCTGCAGCAAGAAGGTAAAGCTGCCTGTCCCCGTTGTCCCCGTCCTCCCCATCCTCCTCTGGAATGTGTCCAGAGAAGGGAACGGAGCTGGGGAACGCTGGGGAAGGGTGGAGGGAGGCTCAGCCTGGAGAAAAGTTGGCTCAGGAGGGACCTTCTGGCTCTGCTCAGAATGGGACAGTCAGGGAGGGTCGGGCTCTGCTCCCAGGGGACAGGAACAGATCCTCTGGGGATCCTTGCAGCCCCAAATTTCCATCCTGCAAGGAAGGACGGGTGGCTGCAGCATTCCCACTGCTGTGGGTCATCCCACATGGAGCAGAGGTGACTCCCAGCTCAGCTGAGCTCCTGTCCTGGCTCTTGGCAGGTGTTCCTGCACCTCCAGGAATGTTTCTTGTCCTCCTCCTCCAGGTGACCCTGGCCAAAATGCGCTCTCACGTCTCGTCCTGCGCCAAGGTGCAGGAGCAGATGGCCAACTGCCCCAAGTTTGTTCCAGTTGTCCCCACATCCCAGCCTATTCCCAGGTAGGGAAACGTGACCCTCCCTGCATGCCCCAAAATCCAGGTGTGTGTTGTGCCTTCCCTTGGGAGGAAGAGCAGCACCTTTTTCCCTCCTGGGGTTCCGGTGCGTGGGGTGGGATGAAGGCTCCACCAGAGCAGGGAGGTGGGCTGGGCAGGGGCTGGGGCTGGCTGGGGCTGTGTTAGTTTGGAAGGGGCCAGTGCAGCCTCCCCTGAGATCTGAGCTCCTCCTGGCTCTCCCCAGCAACATTCCCAACCGCTCCACGTTCGTGTGTCCGTACTGCGGCGCGCGGAACCTGGACCAGCAGGAGCTGCTGAAACACTGCATGGAGAACCACCGCAACGACCCCAACAGAGTGGTGAGTGCTCTGTGCCCCTGTGTGTGCAGGCACAGCTGTGTTCCAGCTGCTTTCAACCCCTCTGCGAGGTGGGGATCTGTCCCTGCTTTGGTAGAGGCTCCCTGGAATGAGCTGTCTCCATCCCCCTGTTCCTGCAAAGCAGGTGGTGCTGGATCTCCTCTCCCTGTTCCCTCTGGGTTGACCAAGGTAGGGGACTTGGGATCTTCAGCACAGGAAGGACCTGGAGCTGATGGAGCAGCTCCAGAGGAGATCACAAAGTTGATCAGAGGGCTGGAGCAGCTCCAAAGGAAATCATCAAGTTGATCAGAGGGCTGGAGCAGCTCTACCATGAGGGAGAGGCTGAAAAAATTTGGATTGTTCAGCCTGGAAAAGAGAGGCTTCAGGGTGACTTAATCATGGCATTCCAGGACCTTCAGGAAAGGTGGAGAGAGACTGTTGACAAGGGCCTAGAGTGACAGGACAAGGGGGAATGGATCCAAACTGCCAGAAAATTGGTTTGGGTTGGATATTAGGGAGAAATCTTTCCCTGTGAGGCTGGGCAGGCCCTGGCACAGGTGCCCAGAGCAGCTGTGGCTGCCCCTGGATCCCTGGCAGTGCCCAAGGCCAGGCTGGGTGGGGATTGGAGCCTGTCAGCAGAGGGGCAGCACTCCTCTCTCTGGCAGGTCCCTGTGCAGGTGCCACCATTCCGTGTCCGTGTGTCCCCACAGGTGTGCCCGGTGTGCTCGGCCATGCCCTGGGGGGATCCCAGCTACAAGAGTGCCAACTTCCTGCAGCACCTGCTCCACAGGCACAAGTTCTCCTACGACACCTTCGTGGTGAGTGTGAGCCTGAGTTAAAAATGGGGACCCTCCTCCCTGTGTTCTGTGCCAGGAGGTGAAACCAGCCCTTCACGGGGCACAAGTGTCCCACCCGTGAGACCCCCACACCCACCAGGAGGAGAGGGGATTGTTCCTGTGCTCCACAGAATGGGTTTTTCCATGGAATTCTTCCCCTGAGGAATTGTAATGAAAAGCTCCTTTTCTTGGAGGTTTTGGGAGCAGGGGGTGGGACCAACCTTGCCCCAGGGTTTTGGGGGGGTGTGGTTGCTGCATGTGGGGGGTCCCTGACCCCTCCTGTGTGGGGGGCAGTTGTGATGGCTCAGCCTTGGCCTCAGGGGAGGCTCTGTTCCCATCCTGCTTTCATTGGAGAGATGTCAGGGAAAAGAACCTCCAGGCATTTTCCGAGGAATATCCTGACTTTTCAGGAGTTGGATAAACCCGACCTGGAGCTCTGCAAAAACCCCTGGCCTCTCTGGAAAGCTTCACCCTTTGGCCTCAGCTTGCGTGGGCACGTTCCATCCCTCCTGGCAGGGGTGGGATCCCAGGCAGGAGAGGGATGTGGGCACACGGGGCACCCTGAAGAGCACGGGTGCCACTCCTGGGATCCGTGTGCCACAGGAACGGAGGCTCCGTGGGCACAGAGCTGTGCCAGCTCTCCTGAGCTGCCCTGTTGCATTTTCAGGATTACAACATCGACGAGGAGGCGGCGTTGCAGGCAGCCCTGGCTCTGTCCCTCTCTGAGAACTGAGGCTGATCCCTCTCCCTGCCCTGGCTCCTTCTGGACACTGCAGGAACCCTCCGGAGCCCCACTCTGTTCCCACTGCAATTCCCACCTTGTTTGAGAAGGTGGAGGAGCCTCTTCAGTTGTCACAGTGAGTGAGCAGAGAGCTCTGCAGCAGGGCTGGGATCTATCCTTGGATTGGAATTTAATATCTGTGTTGGGAGCATAGCCCTGTGTCCAGATCTATTTATTGTCAGATGCTTTTTGGCACACTTGTCCCTGCTGTCTGCTGCAGCAGAGCAGGTACCTGGAACTGAGGGAATGGATGCCAAACCCCCTCACTTGGAACTGGAATCAGCCACATCCTTTTAAAAAGGAGGAAGGCAGCACGGAGCATCTTTTTTTAAACTCTCCAAGGATTTTTTTTCTAGAGATGTCAGGCTGTCCTGACCCCCGTGCTGGAGGCTGGAGCTGCCTCCTTCAGCTGGATCCCAGGATGAGACTGAGCAATGCTTCAGAGGAGCCCTGGAGGATGGCATCCAGCACCCAGGGAAACCTCCCCTTCCTCGTTTTGTACCGGCTCCTGGGACACCAAATCCTCGCCTTTTTCTACACGAAGCGAAGCCTTTTCCACGTTTTCTAGAGCGGGGTCAGAAGCTGTTCCCCTTCACTCTGCAATATCTGCCACCCTGGACAAGAATATTTTTATGGAACATGATGAAGAAAGTTTTTATTTTTTACACAGATAACCCAAGCAAACCAACACGTGGATTTGGAACGGGGCAGGAGCTGGATCCCGGAGCAGCGGGTCGGACTCTGAGGTGGGGGAAGTGCAGGGATCTTCCTGGGCCTTCCCTGGATATTTCTGGGCCTTCCCTGGATCTCTCTGGGCCTTCCCTGGATCTCTCTGGGCCTTCCCTGGATCTCTCTGGGCCTTCCCTGGATCTCTCTGGGCCTCCCCTGGATCTCTCTGGGCCTTTCCTGGATCTCTCTGAGCCTTTCCTGGATCTCTCTGGGCCTTTCCTGGATCTCTCTGAGCCTTTCCTGGATCTCTCTGGGCCTTTCCTGGATCTCTCTGAGCCTTTCCTGGACCTCTCTGGGCCTTTCCTGGATCTCTCTGGGCCTCCCCTGGATCTCTCTGGGCCTTTCCTGGATCTCTCTGGGCCTTTCCCTTCCCTCCCCTGCCTGTGAGGGAGCAGGCAGGATGGTTGGGTTGGATCCAGGTGCTGGTTGCCAATGGAATTGCTGTCCATGCAGGATCCCAGCCCCAAGTTCCCCCCAGAAATCAGGGATTGCATCTCCCTGTGGTAATTCCTCCCTGGGAACATCCTGGTGAGCCCTGCCCCTTCCTCTCAGCCCTGCCTGCTGCTGCTGGGGTTGGCTCTGGAGGGTTGGGAGAGGCTGGCAGGGAGATGGCACCGGGTGAACCTGAGGGAGGGGGTGATTCCCGAGAGCCTTCCTGCAGGATTTGCAGGGAAAGGGTGGGAGAGGCCCCCTCTGCATCTCCCTGCTCCAAGAATTCCTGAGCTTTATCCCAAACCTGGCTCCAGCTCTGCTCTAGCAATACTGGCTTAGGGTTTATTCTGGTTTTCATAGTCCTGGCTGATTTTGGGATGGTGCAGGGAGCCCTCAGCTCCCCTGGCAGGGCAGGGGAAGGGCTGGAGCTGCCCCGCTGCCAATTCTGGAGCCAGGCCAGTGAGGAGGGGTGGGAGCTTTTACCTGCCCTGGAGGATGTTCCTGGTGGGATGGAGAGCCACTGGCATCTTCCAGGAGGGACCTAGGAGTGTTTCCCTGCCCTGTGCTCAGCTGGGAGCCTCAGCTGCTGGAGCAGCCTGTGAGAGCTTGGTGCTGTTGGGCCAGCACTGTTAACCTCGGGCTGCTTCCCTCTCTTCTCCTGCTCCTCCTTTTTGCCCCACAGGGGCAGAGCAGGGGCAGCAAGAGCTGCTTTTGTAAAGCACTTTAAGGCCCTGGCTGTGAGGGGCCATACCAGGCTGTGCCAGGGATCCCTCTGTATACCAGGGATCTTCTCTGTGCTAGGGATCCGATCTGTGCCAGGGATCCCTTCCTGTGCTAGGGATCCTCTCCCTGTGCCAGGGATCCCTCCTTGTGCCAGGGATCTGTGCCAGGGATCTGTGCCAGGGATCCTCTCCCTGTGCCGTGGATCCACGGATCCCACTGGCCGTGACCACCAGTGCGTCGCCACCCACCACTTTTTTGCATAATTAGAACTTTTAACGAGCCGTCCTGTTTTTTGGAGAGGAATGAACTCGATGACGTATTTGTAGCAAACCATTTTTTCTCAATAAAGGCAGTTTCATCCACGCGTGGCCCCTGGGGTGGGGGGAGCACTGGGGCAGTACTGGGAGCACTGGGATACTGGGGGCACTGGAGGACTGGCATACTGGGGGTACTGGGAGCACTGGGATACTGGGGCACTGGAGGGTCTGGGAACACTCAGAGTACTGGGGACAGTTGGAGTGCTGGGGTGTGAGGGTGACATGGAGTTTGGGAGCACTGGGGCGGTACTGGGAGCACTGGGGCGGTACTGGGAGCACTGGAAAACTGGGAGCACTGGGGTACTGGGATCATTGGGGTATTGGGAGCACTGGGGCTCTGGGACAATACTGGGGGTGCTGGGGCACTGGGATACTGGGAGCACTGGAAACCTGGTGGTACTGGGAGCACTGGAAACCTGGGGGTGCTGGGGCACTGGGATATTGGGAGCACTGAGACTGTACCAGGAGCATCTGCGCATGCGCAGCTATTGCCCAATTCAAAAATGGCGCCCCCCCAGGCCCAGCCCAGCGCGCTTGGAGGGCGGGGCCTCCCGTGGTCCGATCGCTGCCATTGGCTGTCGGGAACCAGTGCCGCGCTCTCGACCAATGGCGAGGCGGGGCCCGCCGCAGGCCACGGTGACGTGCGTGGCGCGGGGGCGGAGCCTGAGGGCGGGCGGCGGCGATGGCGGCGGAGCGCGGGCTGGCCATGGCGACCTGCACGGCCCCGGTGAACATCGCCGTGATCAAATACTGTGAGTGCCGGGCTCGGCCGGGCCGGGCGGCACTGCGGGCCGGGGGACACCGGCTGCGGGCCGGGCTGGGCGTGCCGCGCTGTGTCCTCGCTTGCCGGGCAGTGCCGTGCCGTGCCGTGCCCAGCTCTGCTATGCCGAGCTTTGCTTTGTGTCCGTCAGTGCCATTCGGAGCTGTTCTGTGCCGATCCGTGCCGTGCTGTGCCATATCATTCCTGGCTGTGCTGTGCCATTCCTGTCTGTGCTGTGCCATTCCTGTCTGTGCTGTGCCATTCCTTTCTGCTCCGTGCCATTCCTGTCTGTTCCGTGCCATTCCTGTCTGTGCCGTGCCATTCCTGGCTGTGTCGTGCCATTCCTGTCTGCTGTGTGCCATTCCTGCCTATTTGCTCTGTGCCATTTCTGTCTGTTCTGTGCCATTCCTGGCTATTCATACCATTCCTGGCTGTGCCATGCCATGCCTTACTGTGTCCATCAGTGCCATCAAACTTCCATGCCATTCCAAGCCGTGCCATGCCGTGCTCTCTTGCAGGGGGCAAGCGTGACACCGACCTCATCCTGCCTATCAACTCCTCCCTGAGCGTGACACTGCACCAGGACCAGGTGGGTCAGCACCAGCTTTAGGACCACGTTTAGGATCTGGACCATGATCAGGTTTAGGACCAGGACCAGGTTTAGGATCAGGACCAGGACCAGGTTTAGGACCAGGACAGGTTTAGGGTCAGCCCCCGGGGGTGCTGAGCCCCTTCCCTCTCTCCACACAGCTCAGGACCACCACGACGGCGGCCGCCAGCCGGGATTTCACGGAGGACCGGCTGTGGCTCAACGGGAAGGAGGCGGACGTGGGGCACCCGCGGGTCCAGGCCTGTCTGCGCGAGGGTGAACGTCCCCTGCCCGGGGGTGTCCCTGCTGTCCCCTGTCCTAGTGTCCCCTGATCCTGGTGTCCCTGTTGTACCCTGCTGACCTCTGTCCCCCCATCCCTGTTGTCCCTGCTGTCCCCTATATCACTGCTGTCCCTGACTCCGCTGTCCCCACTGTCCCTGTTGTCCCCTTGTCCCCGTTGTCCCCACTGTCCCCTGTCCCCACTGTCCCTGTCCCTGCCAACCTCGCTGTCCCTGACCCCTCTCTCCCTGACCTTGGTGTCCCCGCTGTCCCTGACACTGCTGTCCCTGACCCTGCTGTCCCTGTGCCCTCTGACCCTGCTGTCCCTGTCCTCTCTGTCCCCATTGTCCCTGTCCTCTGTCCCCTCTGACCCCTCTGTCCCTATCCCCTCTGTCCCTGTCCCTGTCCCCAACCCCTCTGACCCCTCTGTCCCCACTGTCCCTGTCCCCTCTGTCCCCACTGTCCCTGTCCTCTGTCCCCTCTGACGCCTCTGTCCCTATCCCCACTGTCCCTGTCCCCTCTGTCCCCACTGTCCCTGTCCCCTCTGACTCCGCTGTCCCTGTCCCTGTCCCCGCAGTGCGGCGCCTGGCGCGGAAGCGCCGCGGGGCCGGCGAGGACGCGGCTGCGCTCAGCCTTTCCTGCAAAGTCCACATCGCCTCCGAGAACAACTTCCCCACGGCCGCCGGGCTCGCCTCGTCCGCCGCCGGCTACGCCTGCCTGGGTGCGTGTGGGGCCGGGCCTCTGTCCCCTCCTGCCCTGGCAGGGTGACAGGGCTGTCCCCTTGCTGCCACCTGTGCCCTGCCTGTGGCAGTCTGGCTGGGAGGGGTGGCTGGGCTGTCCCCTCTGACTGTCCCCTTCAGTGCCAGCTTTGTGGTGGCACTGGGAGGGGTGACAGGGCTGTCCCCTCTGCTTGTCCCCTCAGTGCCAGCACTGGCCTGGCTCTGTGGCAGCAGCAGCAGGGTGACAGGGTTGTCCCTGTCCCCACAATGTCAGTGCTGGCCCAGCTCTGTGGCAGCAGCAGCAGGGTGACAGGGCTGTCCCTGTCCCCGCAGTGTCGGCGCTGGCCCGGCTCTGTGGTGGCACTGGGAGGGTGACAGGGCTGTCCCTGTCCCCGCAGTGTCGGCGCTGGCCCGGCTCTACGGGCTGGAGGAGGAGCTGTCCGAGGTGGCCCGGCGGGGCTCAGGCAGTGCCTGTCGCAGCATGTTCGGCGGCTTCGTGCAGTGGCAGCGCGGGGAGCGCCCCGATGGCAGCGACAGCCTGGCCCTGCAGGTGGCCCCTGAGACGCACTGGCCGGAGCTCCGCGTCCTCGTCCTGGTGGTGAGGGGCTGGCAGGGGATTTGGGTGGCATTTGGGACTCGGGGGGCTCGGCAGGGGCCGTGTCCCAGTGGCTGTGTCCCCACAGGTCAGTGGGGAGAAGAAGCCGGTGGGCAGCACGGCGGGCATGCAGACCAGCGTGGAGACCAGTCCCCTGCTGAAGGTAGGAGGGGGACACGGGACTCGTCCCCTTTCCCTTGGAACGGGGCTGGACGGGGTGCAGGGACCCCCAGAGGGTCACAGTGCTGTGGGTGTCACCAAATTGGGGGTACAGTGACCTTCCTGCAGTGGGTATCCCCAGATTTGGGGTGACCACCACCCATCTGTGGTGGATGTCACTGAACCGGGGTGACCACACCCTCCTTCCATGTGTATCACTAAACTGGGGTGGCCACAAGCTGCCTGCTGGGGTTATCACTGATTTGGGGTGACTGTGACCTTCCTGCTGTGTCACTAAACTGGGGTGACCGTGACCCTCCTGCCATGGGTGTCACTAAACTGGGGTGGCCACAACCTTCCTGCTGGGGCTGTCACTAAATTGGGGTGACTGTGACCCTCCTGTGATTGGTGTCACTAAACTGGGGTGGCCACAACCTTCCTGCTGGGGCTGTCACTGGTTTGGGGTGTCACCGATGTGGGCCGATGGTGACCCCCCGTGCCGTGGCAGCACCGGGCAGAGGTGGTGGTCCCCGAGCGCCTGGCGCAGATGATGCGGCACATCCAGGAGCGGGACTTCGAGGGCTTTGGCCAGCTGGCCATGAGGGACAGCAACCAGTTCCACGCCACCTGCCTGGACACCTTCCCGCCCATCTTCTACCTGACGGACGTGTCTCGCCACATCATCGCGCTGGCGCACCGCTACAACGCCCACCACGGCCACACCAAGGTACCCGCGGGGCCCCGGGGGCGCTGCCCCGGCGCCGTGGCCCTGCCCCGGGTCCCCACGGCCCCTCGATGCCACCGCAGGTCGCCTACACCTTCGACGCCGGCCCCAACGCCGTCGTCTTCGCGCTGGCCGACGCCGTGGCCGAGTTCGTGGAGGTGCTGAGGCGCAGCTTCCCCCCGGCCGCCAACGGGGACGAGTAAGGGAGCCCCGCTCCTCGCTGGGGTTGGGGGTGCTGGGGGCACGGCGGGGGCTGAGCGCTGCCCCCCGTGCCCCAGGTTTGTGCGGGGGCTGCCCGTGGGCTCGGCCGCGCTGCCGCAGGAGCTGCTGGCCGCCGTGGTCACCGAGCCCCTGCCCGGGGCTGTGCGGTACATCCTGCACACCAAGGTGAGGGTGGGCGGCTGGGGATGGGGTCTGGGGGGACACGGCCTCTGGGGGAGGGATCTGAGCCCATCCCTGTCCCCAAGGGGGGTGGTGGGACCCCACTGCTGTGCCCAGGGGGGGTCCAGGACCCCATCCCTGTCTTAATTCCCATCCCTGTCCACATCCCCAGCTGGGTGTGTAGGGCCATGTCCCCATCCCCAGGGTGGTGTGTGGGACCCCATCCCTGTCTGCATCCCCAGGTGGGTGTGTAGGGCCCTGTCCCCATCCCCAGGTGGGTGTGTGGTACCCCATCCCTGTCCCCAACCCTGTCTCAATTCCCAGGTGGGTGTGTAGGGCCCTGTCCCCATCCCCAGGTGGGTGTGCAGGACCCCATTTCTGGACATATTCCCCCTGTCACAATCCATGGGGTGACCTTTTGGGGTCTGTGGGGCACAGAGCTGCCCTCACCCGCAGCGGGGAGGGTCCTGCAGGCTCCCCAGTGTCCCTGACCCGTGTCCTGCCCCACAGCCTGGCCCTGGTCCCCAGCTGGTGGATGACCCCAGCCAGCACCTCCTGGGCGCGGATGGGCTGCCCCGCAGCCGGGCCTGACCCCGGTGACACTCTGGGACACGCGGGGGTCCCGGTGCCACCAGCGGGCCTCAGGACCTGCCCCGGGCCTGCTGCAGAGCTGTCCCCAGCCCTGGGGCAGGATGTGACCCCGGGGCTGCTTTTTAATCTTTTCTCAGGAAATAGAGAGGTCCTGTTCCAGTGCTGCTCTGGGCTCTCAGGCTCTGTGTGTGGGGCTGGGGGGGAACAGTGCCTGCCAAAATGGGGGACAGGAGATGGGGACAGTCCCTGGGGCTGACCCTGTCACCCTGTGTGACCCCTGTGTCCCGTGTGGGGCATCTCCCGTCCCACATGCGCCCGAGTTGTCACTGATCCTGTCCCTGCACGTGCCACATCCCCTGTCCCCTCCCTGTCCCTCACAGGACTGGCCCTGTCCCCATCGCTCCAATGTCCCTGCTGCTGGGACCGACCCTGTCCCCCTGCACGGCCCCCGTGTCCCCGGGGTGGCCCTGTCCCTCCAGGCCATCCCTGTCCCCTTGTCCCGGTGTCCCCGGGGGTGTCCCTGTCCCTCCAGGCCATCCCGGTGTCCCGGGGGTGTCCCTGTCCCTCCAGGCCATCCCTGTCCCCCTGTCCCAGTGTCCCCGGGGGTGTCCCTGTCCCTCCAGGCCATCCCGGTGTCCCGGGGGTGTCCCTGTCCCTCCAGGCCATCCCTGTCCCCCTGTGTCCCTGGGGGTGTCCCTGTCCCTCCAGACCATCCCTGTCCCGGTGTCCCGGGGCTGTCCCTGTCCCTCCAGGCCATCCCTGTCCCCCCATGTCCCCAGGGGTGGCCCTGTCCCTCCAGGCCACTCCTGTCCCCCCATGTCCCGGTGTCCCCGGGGTGGCCCTGTCCCTCCAGGCCACTCCTGTCCTCCCGTGTCCCGGTGTCCCCGGGGTGGCCCTGTCCCTCCAGGCCACTCCTGTCCCCCCGTGACCCCGCGGTGACCCCGGCTCGGTGTCCGGTCCCGCGGGGGCGTGGCCAGTGGGAAAGGGGCGTGGTCAACACGAGTGGGCGTGGTCAACACGAGTGGGCGTGGTGTGTGGAAAGGGGCGTGGTCAGTTCGGGGGCGTGGCCTGCGGGAGTCGCGCCGCGCCCGCCTTCCGGGTCGGGACCGGGCGAGCGGAGCCGAACCGAGCCGGGACAGCCGGGCCCAGCGGGAAAAGCAGAGCGAAGAGGGCCGGATACGAGCCGGGCTGAGCCGAACCGGGCCGGGCCGTGAGCAGCCGAAAGCGAGCGGAACCGGGAGTACCGAACCCGCTGGGACCGAGCCGAGCGGAACCGGGAGTACCGAACCCGCTCGGACCGAGCCGAGAAGAACCGGGAGCACCGAACCTCTCGGACCGAACCGAGCGGAACCGGGAGCACCGAACCCCTCGGACCGAGCCGAGCGGAACCGGGAGCACCGAACCCCTCGGACCGAGCCGAGCGGAACCGGGAGCACCGAACCCTTGGGGACCGGCCGGTTCGGCCGCGGGCCATGGGGCAGATCGAGTGGGCCATGTGGGCGAACGAGCAGGCGCTCGCCGCCGGGCTCAGTGAGTGCGGGGGGCTCAGGGGTTTTGGGGGACCCGGGGACTCCAGAAAGTCCCCGGGGCTCCGGGAGGAGGGATGGGATGGGTGGGTGGGGGTCCCGGTCCCACCGGGCTGGAGGCGCCGGGGACAGCCGGGAAGTCCCGGAGCCTCCGCTTCCTCTTTTCTCTTCCTCCTCTGCCCTCTCTTCCTCGGTTCCGTCCTCTCCTCCTCCGCTCTCCTCTTCCTCCGGCCGCGGGGCCAAAAATCCCCCCCAGATTTTTCTGGGGCTCCCTGAGCCCGGGGGTGCCCCCGCAGCATCTCCCGGTCCCCGCGCTTGGCAGCCCCGGTGCCCTTCCCTGGATCCGGGGGTCCCGAGGGGTCCCGAGGGGTCCCGGGGCCGCGATCCCGGCCGGGGGACTGCGGGGGCTGTGCCCGGATTTGGGGGGGCACACGCTCAGCTCGGGGCTGTATCCCGGTTTTGGGGGGTTGTGTCCCGGGTTTGGGGTTGTATCCAGTTTGGGGGGTTGTATCCCAGTTTTCGGGGGATGTGTCCCCGGTTGGGGAGTTGTATCCAGTTTTGGGGGGTTGTATCCAGTTTTGGGGGGTTGTATCCAGTTTTGGGGAGTTCTATCCCGGTTTTGGGGGGTTGTGTCCCGGTTTTGGGGGGGTTGTGTCCCTGTTTTGGGAGGATGTATCCCGTTTTTGGGAGTTGTGTCCCGGGTTTGGAGGATGTATCACGGTTTTGGGGGGTTGTATCCCTGTTTTGGGGTTGTGTCCCGGTTCGGGGGTTGTGTCCCGGGTTTGGGGGTTGTGTCCCGGTTCGGGGGTTGTGTCCCGGTTCGGGGGTTGTGCCCGCGCTGGGGTCGCTGTCCTGGCCTGGGGGGGTCCCGGAGCGACCCCTCCATGCCGCCTGTTCCCGCAGTTCTGCTGACGGGCGGGGTCGTGGCCGTGGCGGGGCAGTTCCAGGGCTGGTACTTCGCGGCCTATTCCATGTATCCTTCATTCCCGGGGCTGGGCTGCGGGAAACCCTGGCCCGATCTGGCTGGGAGCAGGACCGGGGAGGGCTCACATCCCGCATCCCACCTCCCACCTCGCCCCGCTGCTCCCGGCCCTGCGTTCCCCGCCCCGCACATCCCGGTTTTTTGGGATGCGGGTTGTTCCCGGTGCCACGCCGCCTTTCCTTGACGGCCGGCTGGCAGCGCGGCAGGGCTCCTGGTGTGCCTGCTCGAGTACCCCCGGAGCAAGCGCCAAAAGGGCTCCACCATGGAGAGGTGGTGAGTGCCGAGCCCCCCCTGCAGCCCCGGCACCCCCAAACTCCGGGATGTGGCAGCAGAGCTGGATCCCACGCCTGTGGGTTCCTCGGGGTGATCCTTGCAGAGGTGGGGGTCCCTGGAGGCCGGGTGTCCCCTGAGGGTGGGGACACCCCCAGTGACCCCCCGCTGTCACCCCGCAGCGGCCAGAAGTACCTGACAGCCGTGGTGAAGCTGCTGGGGCCCCTCACCAGGAATTATTACATCCGAGCCATCCTCCACGCCGCGTGAGTGGGGTGCAGGACTGGGAGTGGGGCTGGGAGTGGGGCTGGGCCCCCCCAAGCCCCCCAGCTCCCTCTGAACCCCAAATCTCTGTCCCAGCCTGGCTGTCCCTGCCGGATTCCTCCTCTCCACCATCCTGGGCACCGTCTGCCTGGGCATCGCCAGCGGCATCTACCTGCTGGTGAGTGCAGAGGGGCTCTGGGGGGCTGGGAGGGGCAGGGCACCCCTAAACCCACGGCCCGGAGCTTCCCTGTGGATTCCAGAGGCATTCCCAGGCTGGGCTGCAGGAACACCCCGTCCCCATCGGGGTGGACGGGGGGGGGGGTCACATCTTCCTTCCCCCCCTCTGCTCCCAGCTGCGCTTTCCCTGCCCCAAACAGCCCCTTTTTTGGGGTGGGGGTTGTTCCATGGGGCTATTCCCCATCCCACAGGCTGCAGTGCGAGGGGAGGAGTGGAGACCCATCGAGCAGAAGCCCCGGGAGCGGCCCCAAGTGGGGGGCACCATCAAGCAGCCCCCCAGCAACCCCCCGCCCCGGCCGCCCCCCGACGCCCGCAAGAAGCAGCCGGAGGTGGGGGGGCAGGTGAACCCCATCCCTGTGGAGGTGGAATAATGGGGGATCCTCCTGCCCCCCTGCTCCTGGGGATCCCCAAAGCCCCGGGGCTGCTGAGCTCCTGCTGGGGGTCCCCTGCTCCTGGTGATGCTCAGATCCCTGGGATCATCAGTTCCCCCTGAGCACCCCAAATCCCCAAATCTGGGGTGCCCAGCTCCTGGTTATCTCCAGATCCCCAGCAATGCTCAGCTCCTTGTAGGATCTGTCTCCCTGTAGGATCTCCATCTCCTGCAGATCCCCAAATCCCTTAAGAAGCTCAGCTCCCAAATTCCCAGCGATGTGATGCTCCTTGTGGGGTTTCCAGCCCTCAGGAGCTTCCCAGTTTCTGGAGATTCCCAAATCCCTGGGCCTGCCCAACTCCCTGTGGGGTCTCCAGCTCCCAGGAACTCCCCAGCTCCTGCACCTCCCCAAATCCCCAAGAATCTTCAGCTTCCTGTGGGGTCTGCAGCCCCCAAGGCCTTCCCAGTTCCTAAGGATCCCCCAAATCCCTGTGAGTCTGCAGTTCCTGGGAAACCCCGGATCCCTGGGCATGCTTAGCTCCCTGAGGGTCCCAACTCCCCAAGCACCCCCCAGTTCCCTGGGGGATCCCCAAATCCCCGTGGAACTCCAGCTCACAGGGAATCCCCAGCTCCCGGGGGGATCAGGCAGCTCTCCCTGGTTTTTGTCATTTCTGCAGTTGCTGTTGCAATAAAAAGTGGGAAAGGCAGTGGCTGCCCCTGCCTCCTGCTCCAGGGGGATCCCCCCAGTCCTGCCCTGCTCCTGGGGGGCTGGGACAGGACTGGGGAGGTGTTTTGGGGACAAACAGTGCAGTTCTGGGCAAATCCAGCATGTGGGTGTGCAGAGTATGGCCACGGCAGGGTCCCCTCCCAAAATCCTTATGGAGCCACAGTGGGGTGGAACTGGGAGGGCCCTGCACTGGGGGTGCACAGGGAGTCCCAAAGGAGCCCCCAAAACCCGGGGTAACCCCCAGCAGGGAACGTGGGGAGCATTTCCCTGCCCAGTCCCACTCGTGGGTGCTGCACGTTTCCCGGTGTGATGTGGGTGCCAGATCCCAAATCCTTGATCCCGCTGGGATCAGCAGCTGCTCCAGGCCCTGCTCTGTCCCCTCAGGGGCTGCAGGTGGCCCAGGGCACCCCTGGGTGCTGCCAGCACCCTGGCAGGTGGCACCAGCTCCGTGGGCTGTGGTGCCCGGGGGCAGAGCCGTGGGAAAGGTGTGGGTGTCGGGGTGCCAGGGCTGGGTCCCCCCCGGGGCTGGGGGTGTTGTGGGGCACCCCCGTGCCCTGCTGCCCTCCCCATCGCCTCCCAGCTCATCCTGCCCTGCCCACCCAGAGGGGCTGAGGGGTGTCCCACAGCCGGGCATTGCCCGGGGACGTGCCCCAATTCCCAACATCCCGATGCCCTGGGCACAGAGCAAGGACCGTGCCAGGAGTTGTTTGCTTTTATTGGCAGCATTAAATAGTGCTAGGAAGGAGACAATAAATACCTTTTTTAGGGGGGAATAAATAACCAGTGAGTGCAGCACTCACAGGGTCTGGCCGTGGGGCGCTGCTGGCCCATGGCTTGGAGGGTGGGGGGGTCAGCAATAAATAAAGGGTACAAAAAGCCCCGGGGCAGCGAGGCTGATAAATAACTGATAAATAACCAGGGCAGGGGCCACCCTGGCGGGTCGGGTGCTCTAAAACAAGCACGGGCGGGGTGCGGCGGTGGCCGGGCCGGGCTCAGCGCACCGTGCGGGGCAGGACGCAGGTGCAGCCCACGGGCACTCGGATGTAATCCACCTCCAGCGCCACCAGCCCCGGCGCCGCGGGCCGCGGGCACGGCTTGCGCCGCAGCACCAGCATGGTCTGGTGGATGGCCACCGAGTTGAGCGACGTGGTCTCCCGGCCGGTTTTCACATCCACGCAGCCGCTGCACAGGCACTCGGCGAAGGCCAGCTTGCGCGGGTAGCGGTCCTCGTCCTCGTCGATGCTGCGGGGACGCGGCGACAGTTCCAGGCGTGCCGCCGGCTCTGAGCGGCTGGCACGGCCCGGCGGGGAGGGGCGGCACTCACCGGTAGCGCCACGGCGAGATGGAGCGCTCGTGATGCTCGCCGCGGAGCCCGGCGCGCACGGACAGCGCGGGGCAGCCCGGCGGGCGCTGCCGCCGCCGCCGCCGGGCCCCGGCCGCCTCCCCGCGCTCCAGCTGCGGCACCAGCTGCACCGAGACGTGCCGGTCCCAGCGCAGGCTGCGCCCCAGCAGCTGCGCCGGAGCCTCGGGCCCCAGCTCGGCCCCGCTGAAGCAGCGCACGGCCGAGAGCCCCGAGCCCGGCCCGGAGCGCCGCAGCGCCCGGCACTGCCCCAGCGCCGCCAGCACGGCCAGGGCGGCCAGCCAGCCCTGCGGGGACAGCGGGCGTTAGGGACATCGGGGGA